GATAATTCCCCTCTATTCGGTGTTGGTGGGGCCTCATCTGGAGTACTGTGTCCAGTTTTGTGGCCCACACTACAAGAAGAATATGGAAAAATTGGAAAGAGTCCAGCAGAGGGCAACCAAATTGATTAGGGGGCTGGAGCACATGATTTATGAGGAGAGGCTGAGGGGACTGGGATTATTTATCTGCAGAAGAGAAGAATGAGGGAGGATTTGATAGCTGCTTTCAACTACCTGAAAGGGGGTTCCAAAGAGGATGGATCTAGATTGTTCTCAGTGGTAGCAGATGACAGAACAAGGAGTAATGGTCTCAAGTTGCAGTGGGGGAGGTTTAGGTTGGATATTAGGAAAAACTTTTTCACTAGGAGGGTGGTGAAACACTGGAATGGGTTACCTAGGGAGGTGGTGGAATCTCCTTCCTTAGAGGTTTTTAAGGTCAGGCTTGACAAAGCCCTGTCTGGGATGATTTAGTTGGTGATTGGTCCTGCTTTAAGCAGGGAGTTGGACTAGATGACCTCCTGAGGTCCCTTCCAACCCTGATATTCTATTCTATATTCTAATCTTGGGTCCTGGCTCCTTAAGAGTTCCTTAAGATGACTTTGTTTACAAATAACTTCAAAACGAGCACTAGTAAAATCCAGAACTAGTTTACTGGACCTGGTTTTCAGCCAAGAGGTGAATAGTCATCACATAAATATTCATCATCTAATGCAGTATAGCAGAAATTCACACCTTTGCACATTTTAAGAGCTCAAGTAGGGCTTGAGTGGTCCATAAGCTTGTGCAGAAGGGTTAATTTCCCCTTATACAAACAGTAACCAATATATGAATAGCAAGGTAGCCAATATATGTTCAGGTAACCTGCCTCCTGCTACACATACCACCAAAGCCTGATCTCTGTTGATATAGGATTTCTGTTGCTTGTACACGTCTGGATTTGTCTAGCTTCAACTTCCAGTCATTGGATCCTGTTATACATTCTCTACTAGACTGAAGAGCCTATTATTAAATATTTGCTCCTTATGTAGGTACAAATTCAAAAAGTATGGTAACCCCCTCCAACACTGGCCAAAATGTGAGAAAATTCAATTTACAGCCTAAAATGTTTCTGAAAAAAGTGATTAAATATACACAGAGTTTTACTGAGAGAGCAGCTAAGTGTAAATATTGAAAGAATGCTGAAGGGAAGCTTGGCTGTAGAGTGGATGGACAATTGGTCTGTATCCAACCGTTTTTTTTTTTCAGTTATGGAAGGCTGGGGGAAGCTTTTGTTCTTTAAATGGAAGATACAATTTTTTCTGGTTGATCCAAGCACATATTCTTTTTGTGCTGCGCAACATCTGGGGATATGGTAGAGAGTGAGTTGAGGGGAGTTGTGCAATACACAGAATGTATTCTTTTTGGAGGACAGTTATATTTTTTCCCCCAAGAAAACATCATAGGAATATTGTTACTTGTGTGAAATTCCTGAGCTGACCCAGTTTTTCCTATCTTGGGTGGCATTATCTTGGTTGTTCAAGCATTAGGCTCAAGTCAGTTCTAGGGTCAGCATTTTCACTGTTGTTCAAGCATTGCTTGAAAATGCTGACCCTAGAACTGACTTGTGTCTAATACAGGGCTGTTTCCCTTCCCATGGGGAAAAAACCCCATGAATGGGAAAATCCTATGTGCGTACCTTGTGCTCCAGGGAGAACGTACATGGCTTCAACCACTTTCCTCCACCCTGATACTGGAAGCAGTGAAGGGCTACTTTCGTCCCCAATTTAAATTAGAGTAGCATCAAGGCTGCTGTAACTTGTAATGGCCCTCTAGGCCTGAGATCACTGGAATTCCCAGAATGTCTCTAGATGCCCTGTCATGCCTTGGAAACCAAGAACTGTGGCACCATTTTACACACTTAGGGATTGCCTTACACAAGAGAAGGTTCCATCTTGCTCTTTAAGTTAGCTGTTTGTTCTCCTTGTGCTGCCAGGACAGTGCAAAGGGAACAAAATAGGGGCAAGGATCTGGTCCTTGGAGTTACAGGTACATTCTCCTTTCAAGGCTTTATGGAAGTGGCAGGGGGCGTGGCCTGGAAACCATCCAGAAGACATGGGGGCAATCATCTCCACCACTGTTGACCTTGGCTTCTGCTCCCTGTAGCCCCAATCCCATCTGGAAGCACAACTCAATGAAGAGTGCTGTGTCAGTTGCTAATTTCCATAGGCCTGTTCTCTACACTCCTCTTACAGAGGCAGTGAAGGTGTGTAGTGGCATTAATGCTAATTAACATCCTTGTGAATATTTTCTATATATCTGGTTCTAAGAGAAGAAGGCTGTATCGAGTGGCTGCTTTCCAGCATCACCCACCTACCCTGATGTGCCTCCTGAATACCTGCAGAGTCCCACTGCAGACTGTGTCCAAAGGAAGGTTCAGTGGGCTTGGAAGAAAGCTATGTTGACTCCTCTATTCTCCTCATCTGCAGGCTTAGGGTGATTTCAATCCAATTTTACTTGATTTTGCTCCCTTCCTTCAAGCCTCACTTTGGAATGGAGCATTACCCCACAGTATTAAACTAACTTCTGAATTAAACAGCGTGGAGCAATATGTTAATGATAAGCAGGCATGTGAAGTTTTGTTGTTTAACTACATATCTCATCCCACACTGAAAAAGATAAGAAATAGCAACTCTACTTCCTTTAATTTATTAGATCTGTCAGCGTAAAAATAAACATCTAAGATAAGATAATAGTTCTAAATTTTACTTCATTTAGAGCATGATTTATGGTCCCTTTATTTGCCAGAACAATTTATATAAAGCTTTAGATGCCAGTTCTTCAGCCTTTCTCTGAAGTCTGTATCTAGGCAGAACTTTGCTGATATAACACACACATTAAATGGTATATAGTATAATGCCCTTTTATTTTTTCCTCCTTTTTTTCCTGTCTCATTTTTTAACCAAGGAGGAATTGCTAAGAGAAAACCTAATTTCTTTGTGACAGTTCATGCGAACATGTTTAGTTGTTTGAAGTAATCCAGAAAGCTACACCATTAGGACCTGACCCAAAGCCCATTGAAGTCAGTGGGAGTCTTTCCATTGATTTTAATGGGCTTTGGATCAGGCCCTTTATATTTAGCTATCCCAGCTACAGACAGTGCTGATTGGTTGATACTATGATCTCATTCTCAAAAGCCAAGATTTTTGGCTAAAAGTATCCTCCTTTTGTAAAATCAAATATTAGTACAAGTTGAGCGCCTCTGGGACCCTGCTGTTTTTTTGTTGGGAGCTCCAATTGAGGAAATATATTCCTTAATTAGGACATGAGGACAGTTGATCAGATTATCGCCTTTTAGTGGTGACAGGATGGCTCCTTTGTAGCGGAAAATAATAGAACTCCCCCTGGGATCATTGTGGCTGATTTAAAATATAGGATAAAATTACCATGGAAAGACTAACTCATATTAAGTGAGATCAGATGGATGGCTGTTGACATATATATCTTGCACTCCTGAATTACCTTTTTTTATATTGAAGAATGGAAGACTCAATCTCTAAATCAAACAAAAAAAAAGATCAGGCTTTTTATTATTCATAAAATTGCAAACCCTTGGCATGGATGACTGTCGCCAATCGTCAAGATTTTATATATTCTTCTAGTCTAGAATGCTGTAGAACAGGCAAGTTAATATGAAAATTGTTCATCCAGGATTTTTTTTTTAAAGGAAAACTAGAAAGACTTATTGACCCTGTCTTAGTGTTAATATTTTGTCTGTTTTTTTTAAAGTTAGGTTTTACTGTATTTTTTGTGTCTTGAGTGTCAATAAAACCTTTCCCCATCTGAATGTAATGGTGTTAGAAACATGCTGTACTTGGAGCAATATGTTTCATCACACTTGATCTTGACTCAGCAAGCTGGGCAGAAGACCATGCAAACTTCTAGCATATGGGAAAAATTGTGAGCTTGACAAAGAAGCAGTTCAGGAGTTTATATTATTTATTTAGACTGAGCTCTAATGGGTGAAATTTGAAATATTCAGTAAAAATCAAAGACAAGCAAAAAAGATGTAAGAAATGACTGGAATATTCACAGTTAAAACTCTCCAGCATGTAAAGTAATATAACAAACAAAACAAACCTCCACATCTTAATGCTCTCCTTTCCATTTAAGCTGCCAGAAGTCCAAGGCAAAACTATTAAGTTGGCCATACTCTTCCTTTCTGCTTCAGAATTATGATAGATCCATGTGGGAGCTCTCGTAAATCTGTCATAGTTCTGCAGCAGTAAAGCCAACTTAATGCTATTGCCTTAGACTTCTGGCAGCTTAAAGAGAAGAGAGAGGATCAAGATGGGTTTTTGTTTTGTTTTGTTTGTTGTGTTGCTTTTCATGCCAACAACTTTTAATTGCTAATATTCCAGAGAATTGAAGTCATTTTATTATTTATAATTATTTTAATCTTTTTTTAAAGGATAAATAATTCACATACTAAATTGCCTTTATCAGACTTAAAAAGCTGCAGGGCTTGGGTGTGGCCCTAAACTTCATTAAATAATGATGTTTCAGGGCCAATCTCCAGCTGGTTTAAATCACTCTAACTCTATTGAAGCTATGGAGCTATGCCAACTTACACAAGCTGTGGATCTGGCCAACAGAGCATGATTTTTGTATGTAATGTATTGCAGTCGGATACACTGTAACCCACTGAATAAAGTGGAAGCAGTGCTGTATAATTTACATCTCTCAATATGACATTATTTGCAGACAAACACAGCCTTGCAGACAAATCCAACCTTTGTATGATGGAGATGAATCAGGGATCCTTGAGTTTATCTCATGCCTAAACCCTCTTCAAGGTCTCTTGCTATAAAAGACTAATGTACTTTCAAAAGCTTATTGTCCAGATTTTCTCCAGATGTATAAGAAAAGTCTGAAATTAACCTGATCTAAATATCAAAGATGAAATTTGCATATTCTCCCCAGTACACCAAAATTACAAAGAGATACAATATTTGTGTTCTACTTACCAGCTCTGCATAGTTCTCTGGAAGGGAGTAAGTATAAGCATAAGGAAACAGCAGCATCTGGGAATAGGAGTGCATAGTCAAGTATGCCTTTATAGTGGAGAGATTTTTACGAATAAAGTCAGCCAGAGCCTTGGTCTCCTTTTCAGACTCAGGGGCGCTGCCACAATAAGTCTCATCGCATGGTTTTTTTGAAGCACCAACACCTGCAGGGAAGGGCAAATGCTTGTATTTAATGAAACAGAATTATGTTAATGAACCATAAAGATGGGGATTTACTGTCACCAAAGTTATAGTTAAGACTCTTTAGGCAACCTTAAGTTAGTCCCCTGGAGCATATACTATACATGGAGACAGAATATTTATTATGTGCTCACACACTTCTAGGCAATGTGGTGTAGCATTCTGCAAATATTTTTTTTCACAGCTACTATATTTGGAGGAATAAAACCATTTCATACATCACTGAAGTAAGTCATCATATTATGTAAGTGAATTAATGTATGAGAAGTGAACAATTCTGTTGACCTGCAGTGCTTTATTAGGGACCTTTACTTGAATGTCTGCTGCATAACACAGGGCACTTCCAGGAATTAGAGTGGAAGTCTAGTGACTGTCACTTTTCTTGTACGATGCTTTCCCCCAGTATGAATTCAGTGCCCAACAGAAATTTCCAGACTGACAGCCCTGGTGACAGAAGTCTTCTGTTCATCCTAAGGAACAGGTGTACCATGCACAACAACAGCGTAAACCTCCCTAAAGTACATTGATGATGATCCTTGCTCCAGGCCTGGAAGGACCAACTTTAGGAATGAAGGAAGCATCTTTGTGGAAGCATCCTTTTGATGTGTTACATGCTGCACCTTTCAATGTTAACTTTAATCAAATATTAGAAAATACTTACTGCACCACCTAGCATTAAAATTCCTGTTGGGGTCAGTACCAATGCAACTGCTGCCAGAGTTTGTGGAACGTGTCTTCCTCCACATGCGATACTGAAATGGAAAGTGCATGTAAATACTAAAGGATAGTTAACTAAAGGTATTTGACCCATTCAGTGAGATTCTTGTTCAGAAAGAAGAGTGTACATACATTGGTCCAGGTGTAGACATAGCCGTCAATATTAAGGACAGGCAGGACATAGAAATCCAAGTTGTTGAGAAGTTGTGTCATAAGGGTATCACTTCCATAGGTATTAACAGCCTAGATATAGATCAAAGAGAAAGCTGTTGTTTTCATGGAATCAGGAATTGCTGGTGGTTCTGAAATGTATTTTTAAAAACACATGGGTGCGTTATCTTTTGCAGTTGATGCATAATCTTTTTACCTGATATGTTTAATATGGGAATTTTTTTAAAAGACTCTTTCCGCAAACCAGTCCACCAATGTAATTCCAAAAGTACAAGTACATTCTTCTGAGGTAGCCTGCTTCATTAAGGGCCTGATCCAAAAGACACTGAAGTCAATGGGAGTCTTTCCACTGACTTCCGTGGGCTTTGGCTCTGGCCCAAGCATCCTAGAATTAATGATAATAGTTTAGCACTGCAAAGTGATTCCATACATTCCATATCCTGACATGTGCGACTGGCTAAAGCTTTGAGATATTTTTAAGTACTGGAAAGAACAAGGAATAAATCCCAGGTTATATCAGTTGGAACCACACTACTGTTTTAAAGCAGCATTATTCATCTAACTTAACATTGCATAGAGGAACAAGCACTGATCATGAGCAATGCACTAAATCAGCATGCCAGTGGGCAGACTCAGCGCTCTCCACAGAACAACTTCCTATTTAGAGGGATTCAGTGCTCCTGGCCACATATGCTGTAAGGGCTCTTGTGTCCCTGTAGTCCATCGTCTTATTTGTATGCAAGAAAATATTTGTCAATCCCAGAGAGGATCCTCCTGAGACATTCAGTACAATAGATACACTTCTGATTTTGGCAAGCTCTCATCACAAACAGTCTCAAAAGCATAGATAATGGAACATTACATGCTCTTCCCCACTCCTTCCCTTAGCATACAGAGGCATCATCAAAACTCCTGCACTAAAGCTATAGGGCCCGATTCTCCACTGTCTTGTGCTTTGTGTGATCATTACAGATTTACACCTATATAAAGTGAGTGTAAATGGGGCATAGAAAAGCTGCCATTCTGACCGGGTAGTGTATTGCACTCATGTTTCCCTCACTTTGCACATGTGTGAATGACTACACAGGGTGCAAAGCAGTTGAGAATCAGGCCTGTAGTTTGTTGACTGATTAACAGTGTTCAAAAGCAGATTATGGTTATTGGGAGAACTGGTGCTTCTTCCTGCCTTTTGCATATTCTCTAACTCAGCTCATGCCTTTCCTTTTTGTCTTTGGACATTTGTGTCCAGTAGCACTTTTAAATAAACAACGGAGGATCTTAATGTTAAAGTACTTCCTCCTTCCCCAAAACCCTAAAGAAAGTCACCTTCAGTCAAGTACATTCATATATTGACTGTTTCAGCTACAAAAAACCCAATGATTGTAGTAAAAATAATTGCTAAAAGAAAAATGGTACCAGGTACTATTTTCAGTTTTAGTGGGAGATAAAGAGATCATTTTCTCATCTACTTGTCACTTTCAATTTCCGTTGTTCCATATGCAAAGCTACATGGATGTCTCTCAGAGGACAGGAAGATTAGCCATATCACCACTGTGTCTATGCTAGCATGAGCCAATCAAATGCTTTGGTTTTCCTTTATTTGGATTTTAACTACCTCAGGAGTGGCCAACCTGTGGCTCTTCAGAAGTTAATATGCGGCTCCTTGTATAGGCACCGACTCCCGGGCTGGAGCTACATGCGCCAACTTTCCAATGTGCCGGTGGGTGCTCACTGCTCAACCTCTGGCTCTACCACAAACCCTGCCCCCACTCCACCCCTTCCCGCCCTCTCCCCTGAGCCTGCCATGCACTCGTTCCTCCCCCCATCCCCCAGAGCCTCCTGCACTCCACGAAACAGCTGATCAGGAGGTGCAGGGAGGGAGGGGGAGGCGCTGATCGGTGCGGCTGCTGGTGGCTGGGAGGTGATGTGAGCAGGGGTGGGGAGCTGACGGGGGGCTGCTGACGTATTACTGTGGCTCTTTGGCAATGTACATTGGTAAATTCTGGCTCCTTCTCAGGCTCAGGTTGGCCACCCCTGAACTGCCTTCTGCTGCTTCTGTTTTAAAACCTTTAAATGTAGGAATTTTTATAAAATTTGAGAATTAAGCAGCACGGAGTTGTTTTTTAAAGATTATTCTGTGGAAGAGGAGTGTATCTTTTTCCCTTTAGAGGAGGCTGTGTGTACAATGTTCACCAGCACTCCCTACCTATGCAGTGTTAGGAGATATGAGAGAGAGAGAGAATAGAAACTTATATTTCTTTTAGGAATTCATAAAGCCAGCATGGAGTGAACCTCACTTCACGTGTGAGTCTCATGTAATAGAAGGTGATGCTTTCTAGTTACAGAAAAATGTTATTTGTTATTATATGTAACAAATTACATTTTAACAGTTAGAAGTGGTAACTCTGAGGCAAATAATACCAACATTATTATTTTCCTCCCCCTGAATACAACATGTAGGGAGCTGTCTTCCCAGCCTTTGATTACATTTCCATAATCTTCTTGTTCTGTTTAGGTGAAGAAAAGCTTCTACCCTTTCTCTTTCTTTTCTTGGAGGAAAAGAATGATTCTAAGAAACCTGGGAATATGAAGCATTAGGAAGACAGGTGTCCATCCTACTTCTATAAAACACACTCAGATGCCTCCTTCAATTTACCTTGACTTCTCCATTCTTTAAAATCACACAAAGGGCTTAATTCTGAGCCATTGAATTCAATGTCAAAACTTCTACATCACAAATTGAGCCAAGAGCATGACTGGATTCATAGTGTTACTGTAGTGTTATAATAATACAGACATGAAGCAGATTCATTGGTTTGTCCGTCTATCACCTCTCTTTCTATACATATATGCTGTGACAAAGCTCTGTCCTTGCCTCCATGGGTCCCGTGTTTCCTGGCTGATTTCACTAGCCTCAGAGGCTCACTGAGACCCTCTATGTAACCCTTCTCTCTCTAGGGACAACAGTCAGTCTACTGAGCCATTTTCATCATAAGCCAGCGAGGGAGGTGAGGAGAAGTTATCCTTCCTTGCACAGTCTCTGTTGTCTCCCAGTCTCAGTGATTAATCAGGGGGCAAAGGTGGGGGCAGGGGGGAGCCCAGGCCCACCCTCTACTCCGAGCTCCAGCCCAGGGACCCTAATAGTATCAGCTGTGGTAGCTGACCTTGTAGAAACATGACATGTACAATTCCCTGGGCTACTTCCCCCACAGCAGCCCTCACTTCCTCAAGCTCCACTTCACCCTTACCTCAGGGCCTCCTTCCTTGTGCCTGATATGGTATGTACTACTCAGCCTCTCCACCAGCACAACTTCCTCCCACAGCTCCTGACATGCCCACCCACCTTACTAACTGGGAGGCTTTTAACTAGTTTCAGCCAGCCCCTGATTGGCTTCAGGTGTCCCAGTCAACCTAGCCCTCTCCCTGCCCTCTGGAAAGTTCTTAATTGGCCCCAGGTGTCTTAATTGACCTGGAGCAGCTGCCATTTCACTTATCCTGGTACTAGGGATTTGTTTAGCCTGGAGCTAATATATCTATCTCCCACTACTTTTCCATAGCCATCTGGCCTTGCCCAGTCACAATGCACAGGGGATTCTATTCATACCTACCACAGTGAGAATGGGTAGCTCATTTCTTTTAAATAATTTTAATGGAAATTAAAGGGCAATACTTAAAACCTCAAAGCAAACTTGAGTGGTTGCCTTGGGATTCCCCGGGCAGACAGGCAGAATAGTCTGCACTATGCCTCTGCCTCCCAGCTTTGTCCTTCGTGTAGTGGATGTGGCCAGTGACAAGAGGCAGCCCAGATTGCAGCAATCCCTGGATGTTGGAAGGGCCCCCTTGGGGGTCATCACATCCCTGTGGCGTCCTGATGCTCTTTGTTTCCACAAGCTGCTCAGGTGTCGAATGGCCAGTCCTGAGGATCCGGCCGACAGTGTGTATACACTTCATATCAAGGGGAGATTGGAGCCCAAGTTGTATTATTCCAACCCAAATCCAAAATCAGAGAATAAAATTAGAAAGCACTGGATTAGAAACTGCCAAGGACTGAACTGCAGGATATCGTATTATTGTATTTGTTTCACGTTTTTTATAGTCTGTGTCAGGTTCCTCTAAAGTTGATTTATTTTGTGAAAACTCTTTTTTGTTACTGAGTTTACCAACCTCTTTCACAAACCACTGGCAGAATGCAGGGGAGATCCACTCTCTTGCATGGAAACCACAATCCATAAAGATGGCCTTTTTGTTTGAACCACTTTTCCCCACCTATAGTAAATAAAATGTCATGAAAAAACAACCTATTTGGTGTACACATTATTAATATTCTGTTTCCAGACTGGTGACTCTAAAGGTGAAACTTGACAGCAGTATGAGCTATATTCCTTGATTAAATTGGAAACCTAATACTATCAGAATATATTCTTGCCCCTCTGAACAATCAAGTTGTTTAAGTTAAAATAGTAAAATAGTATTTGCTTTGTTTTTTTATTAATGCAGACAAGCTCATATTTTCGCAGAATATTTCATTACTACACAGTGTTGGTAGATTTCATATGATAGTATTATTAGTTGAAAAGACCAAGTTGGTTATATACATTCTAGTGAATGCTGGTGCTGTTTTGGGTAAGTGATTTTGTCTGTTTCTCACTCCCCTCCGCTCTCTCCCCTTCCCCCCCGCCCCCCGGTTTATTTCTTGGTATCTTATTTATTCATAAGAGTTACGTGACAGAAAATGACATCTGAAGAAGATAGAGAAATTTGTTTGTTTCCTGTTGCCAGCTAGACTGACATTTATAGATCCTTTTATGGTAAGTGTGTTTACAAACAACAGATGGCGTGAACACTTACATAAAGGTAGATTATCATTTACATTGCTCACAGGAATTTGGTTAAATTTATAGGTCTGAGCTTCCAAAATATTTATTATGGGTTTCACTCTATAAACCCTTTACCTTAAATCAAAAAGATAAAAATTCACAATAAAAGTAGCTCTCAAAATCTGTTTTGATTTCCTAGAGAATTTATAATACGTGTTAGAGTTAGTGAGGCCTTAATAAATATTGTAATTTTATTCAAGTTACGAGAACAGACCATACTGGTAAAAAGAAACTAAAAATAATCACCTTGAGGAGGTATAGGGGCCGTCCCTGAAATGTAGTCCCGATCTGAGTGCGAGAGACAAGGTTTGCGTTCTGAGCAGCAATGTCAGCAGTCCAAGCAGCTATCTGTTTAATACAACCATTACGTTAAATGGCATCTCTAACCCCAGTTCAAAAGCAATTAATGAATGAAGAGTGTAGCATATTTATCGACTACCTTTTCCCAGTTGTTGTATTTTTCATAATTGTGTCCAGTAGCACGAACATTGCTGTCAAACTGAGCATCAAGTACCGTCTGCAGGTTGTCGATCAGAATTCTGCAATAAACCCACAGTGATATCAAATCTAGAAAGAAGACTTTTCAGTGGGGTGAAATTGTCCAGCAAATTTGACTTTCCCTGCTGGAGAAAGCATTGGACAGATGTCATTGATCTACCATTTGGAACTACAGTGATTCTGAAATGAAGTGTTTGGGTTGGACTATATTCCAGTACGGTGAATTCACAGCTAACCTATTTTTGCCTTATGTTCTGCTCCAAGGATGGGCTCTTCTTGGCCAGCGGCTGTCCACCAGGCCAGCTCTTTGCTCCCAACCCTCTACAATGCAAGCTCTTTTGGGTCAGCTGCAGGGAAGTTAACAACCTTCTTTTCCCCATGCTCTAAGGATAAGCTCATGGAGCAAGTGCTCTTCCTCGGTGAGCAGCCCACTCCCCTTCACCTCAGTGTGAGCTTATGCAGCCATCATTTTCTTGCCTGTGGACATGAGCTTCTAGGGAACAGGGCCTTTGTTGAGTTGATAGCACAGAATGACATTTACCCCATAATGTCACAAGGTGATGATGTAACATCCCAATGCATTGAAAAAGCACCACCAAGCAAACATCTGTAAAATGGTAACCCCCTCTCTGTCAAACCAAACTCCCAGTATTCAGCTGTGGTATGGCAGCCTCATAGTGCCAATGGACTGAACAGTGTTCCCAGCTCTACTGTATTTGTTGTATGCCAGCTGCAGCAAGGTGAATGCAGTCATCCAACAAACAAACATCACACAGGCACTGAAGTCCTGTCTGCCTCTGGCTGGATCTCTGCCACTCACCTTTCCCATGGACTGAGACTAATGGATAAGGCTTATCATCAGGCAGTACCTTGGAAAGTTTGCTTTTATTCCAGATACTCTAACTTTTGTTTTTCCAGTGCTTGTCTTACCCTGAATGGCTAGAGGGTCAAAGATTGCAAAAACAATATGTTCTTGATCAAAGTGATCTGGATAGAAGAGTGAGAGGTCAATTTGCTGTGCAACACCAGCCTTCATAAGAAACACTTGAACTGGTTGCATTGACATAATTTCAGGGCACTGCAGCTGCAGATCAAAGAATTGTATTTACTTTGGCTGTCACAAGGACATTCTGTTGAAGTTTGTCAGGGACATCCTGCCACCCTCATGGCCTCGCAGTCAGAAGACAGGTGCATGAACTTGTGCAAATTCATGTAGGAAATTCTAGCACATACCAGTGTAACTCCCTTGCCAAACAGAAAATCCTACTTTCAATGGATTCTTATGCTATAAGGGAGCAGTAAGAGCACTGAAAATAATCTTCTTAAGAACTATAATTATATGTTTATTGCCAAAATATATGGGTCTTTCCTTCATAGGGCTACTCTGAATATGTCAGAAATACAATTATCGCGGCAAGTGCAGCATTAATAACACTGCTGTGGTTTTCTTAAGAATTGAAAAAGAAACTGTTTGGTCTTTTAATGTCTTTTAATGAAATAATGTTACTACCACAGATAACTATTGAGTTCTCTGCTTTCATATTAGTGGTAATTTTTTTGTAAATGTCCCATTTGCATTAGTTATTTTGCATACATTTGTCCTATGATATGTTAAGGGGCTCCAGCAAATGTCTCCAGGGATGGATTCTTAACGGATTGAAAACAGAGATTTAGTAGATTAAACGGACTAATTTAATGAGAGCTGCATGATCTAGTAGGAAGGAGTTTGATCTATTGAACTGAGCATGGGGTTGTGAGCCAAAAGCTTGTCTACCCTAATCCAGCTCTGCCACTTGACTTGGTGTTTGTTTCTGTATATTGGTAAAATGAGATAATAATACTCACTTACCCACTATACAATTAATGGTCCACATATATCCATATGCTCCAGCTGTTTTGTACTACTATGGTGGCACAAGTCAGCCATAAACCTTATTAGAGAGAAAAGGTGGTTGAGGTAATATATTTTATTGGACCAACTTTTGTTGGTAAGGGAAACAAGCTTTTGAACTTACACAGAGCTCTTCTTCAGAAAACTTGTGTCTCTCACCAACAGAAGTTGGACCAATAAAAGATATTACCTCACCACCTTGGGTCTCTCATATACTGGCACCAACATGGCTAAAACTACACTCCATAAATCTTATTGGTAGCTGTCTAGAGTGGCACAAAGGAGCCAGAACATATTGCTGATCCTGGCTCAGTGTTTGCATAGTGATTTGAAAATATAAATTAGAGGTGGGATTTTCAAAGGCGCCAAAGTGATTTAGCAGCACAAGTCCTTCACTGTGTGGGCATGAGGACTATCAGAATTCTTCCATCCTGCTCGAGTGCTGCTAGGAGTGATAACTCCTAGGAGCTTCTGGGACTGAATAGTACTGCACCAGATATATTGGAAGACTTTGTAAGAAGTTATATATGTGGTCCCCTTACAACTTCATGATAACTGGATCCAGGACCTATTTGGAGGGATTGATTATATACTCTTCTCCTTAGAACATTGTTTAAGTGTGGGATTTCCTTGAGATCAATAGGGGACTTGAAAATGTATATAATACTGCAACTGTTCCACCTAAGGCCTGATCTGACTTGTATTCAAGTCAGTGGAAAGACTCGCAGTTACTACAGGAGGAGGAAGCATTAACAGAAGGCACTGATAACCCAAGAGATCTTTTCCTGGATTAAATAAGAATAAGATGACTAATTTGCTGAATTTCTAACCATCAAAGACACTGTTTAATGCAGAGACAAGGTGGATGAGATAATATCTTTTATTGGACAACTTCTTTTGGTGAAAGAGACAAGCTTTTAAGCTACACAAAGCTCAGTAGCCATTCAATAAGAAATAGATGAGTTGATTCAATATTCTTTGTTGTAACTAAATCATGTTGCTCAAGGTGTTGTATTGTACAGATAGTTTCAGAAAGCACTATGGGATTATTTTGTAAACAGATGCGTCTGTGAAATCTAGGTTTCTAACTCCTGGATACTAGTTTTATGATGATACTTAAAAATGAATGAAAACATTGTTTGCATGAGGAAACCTCTTCCAGTCTCACTGAACTGCTGTTTGGCCTTTGGCAATTCACTTCAATTTGCTGGGCCTCTGTCTTTTCTTGCCTTTTGTCTATTTTGACTTTTTATACTGTAAATTCTTCAAATCTCTTACTATATGTTTTTACAGTGTCTATCTATCATGGGCAGCAGGTGAGCCCCGGCTCGGGGAGGCCGAACTGCCCCTTCTGCCCGAGGCCCTGCCACTGCCGCCGCCGCCGGAACCCAGAGCCCCTTCCCCTGTGCTGCGGCCACCCGAGCACCTCCAGCTGCAGAGCACTGGGAGGGCGGGGGGTGCAAGACCCCTCAGCCCCGAAGTGCCAGGTGGGCAGCATGCCCCCCATTCCCAGAGTGCCAGGTGGGTGGGCATCAAAGCCCCCAGCATCCCCAGCCCCAGAGTGCCAGGCAGGCGGGCGGCATGGCCTCCAGCCCCGGAGTGCCAGGTAGAATTTCTGGCTGCAGGCCAGCCCCCATAAGTCCCAGCCCAGAGACCTGGCCACAGGGGAAGAGCCGTCCATAGCAGAGTGCTGGGAAGCAGGAGGAGGTCTGGTGGCAGAGAGTGAGTGGGGCTATGCAGGGCTGTGTTTGGGGAGGCTCAGCCTCCCCAGCCTTTGATACCCACTGCCCATGACCCTAAACCTAATTGCAATCTCTAGGGGCTACAATAATAATAATTAGTAATTAATTAATAAATATCTTGACTAACAATTATGGCCTTTCTGTTGTCAGAGGTTTGTTATGGGAAGGCCCTTCTGTTATGGGAGGGTTGGCTGGGTAAATTTTCTCAGTATTTACCCTTCTTATATTCAAAATACTAAATAAGAAAAAAAAACATACTCATATTCCACTCCTCTCTGCTCCAGGAGACTCTGAACATCAAAGCACTTGTCCGCTTCAACCCGGAAGTCAACTCTCATTTCTGGTTTTACTTGTGTGATGGTCTCTGGATTCCAGAAATCAATCTGAAAAGTGGAACAGATGAAATTGCGATTGTTAGGTTGGTATCTATGTTGTGGTAACACAGATGTGGCTTGATATGATAATAAGGCAAACTCCATTAACTCAAGACAGCACCAGGGCTATATTCCATTGGTCTACCTAAGTTTTCTAAAATTAAACATAAAATCACATGGAAAATTAACTACAATGATTGTATTAGGACATGTAGTTCACACATTGTGAGATGTAGATTTGCTCAGATGGCAGTGACCGCTTTCCAAGATTTCAATTCAGCAAAGTACTTAAGCATATGTTTAAGAGCTTTTAATGGACTGGGGCCCAGGCAGGAGATGAGCATTCAGGTTCAAAGACAACTTCTGGACAAAAGTGTATGTCCGTCTGAGGAGTGAGTAAATTAGAAATATAATCTTTCATATATTTTTAGGAACAAAAGAGACCATTATGATCATCAAGTGAGACCTCCTGCATAACGCAGGCCATGGACTCTTTTCCAGTAAGTTCTCCAGCAAGACCATAAGTCCTGTTTGAGTTATAGTGCATCTTTTAGGCCTGGTCTACACTATGGGGGGCGGGGGGGATCGATCTAAGATACGCAACTTCAGCTACAAGAATAGCGTAGCTGAAGTCGACGTATCTTAGATCGACTTAGAATCACTTACTTTGCGCCCTCGCGGTACGGGATCGACGGCCACCGCTCCCCCATCGACTCCGCTTCCGCCTCTCACCCTGGTGGAGTTCCAGAGTCAACAGCAGAGCGATCGGGGATTGATTTATCAAGTCTACACTAGACACAATAAATCGATCCCTGATAGATCGATCACTACCCGCCAATCCGGTGGGTAATGTAGACGTGGCCTTAGAAAGATATCCAGTCTTGATTTCAAGACGTCAAGTATAGAAAATCCACCATGTCTCTAAGTAAGTTGTTCCAATAATTAATTAATAATTATTAAAATGGAAAATGACTGCCTAGGAAGGAGTACTGTGGAAAGGGACCTGATGGTCATAGTGGATCACAAGCTAAATATGTGTCAACAGTGCAGGGGTGAAAGGGAGCTGGTAGGGGCCGGTACTGCGTACCGGTAAGAACCCGCACCGGCCCATACCCAGCCCACATTAAGGCGTTGCCACGGCAGCGCTTTACTGTCCCTGCCCCTTTTGCCTCCTCTGTCGGGGGCCTTGCTGGTAGGGTCCGTACCGGCAGGGCCGCCGACGGAGGAGGGGCAAGGGGCAGCAACGTTAAAGCGCTGACGCGGCAAAGGACCGTCCTTAAAGCGCTGCCGCAGCAGTGCTTTGATTTCACTGCCCCTTCCCCCTGTCGGCGGCCCTGCCGGTACGGACCCTACCAGCAGGGCCACCGACAGGGGAGGCAAAAGGGGCAGGGACATTAAAGCGCTGCCACAGCAGCGCTTTAAGGAGGGTCCTTTGCCACCGCGGCGCTTTAATGTTGCTGTTTCCAGCGTGAGCGGGGCCTTTAATGTTACTGCCCTTTAATGTTACTGCCCTTTTTGGCCCCCCCGGCCGCTGACGGGCAGGGAGGGGGGGCAAAGGGAGCAGCTGCCCTGGGGCCGGCGATTTAAAAGGGCCCAGAGCTCCGGATGCCGCTGCCGCTATGGCAGCAGCGGCATCCGGAGCCCCGGGCCCTTTAAATCAACACAGGAGCCCTGAGCAGCACGGGCCAGCTGGACTGGAAGGGCTGGCTGGGGGATGCTGACCCCCCCAACCCTGCCCCTTCCACCCAAGGCCCTGCCCCTTCCGGGGACCAGAGCCACCCCGCCCCGTACCAGTAAGTGGCCTCAGTTACTTTCACCCCTCCAACAGTGTAACACTATTGCAAGAAAAGCAAACTTCATTCTGGGATGTATTAGCAGAAGTGTTGTAAGCAAGACACAAGAAGCAATTCTTCTACTCTACCCTGCGCTGATTAGGCCTCAACTGGATTACTGTGTCCAGTTCTGGGTGCCACATTTCAGGAAAGATGTGGACAAATTGGAGAAAGTCCAGAGAAGAGCAACAAAAATGATTAAAGGTCTAGAAAACATGACCTATGAGGGAAGATAGAAAAAATTGTGTTTGTTTAGTCTGGCAAAGAGAAGACTGAGCAGGGAGCTTTCAAGTACATAAAAGGTTGTTACAAGGAGGAGGAGGGAGAAAAATTGTTCCCCTTAACCTCTGAGGCTAGGATAAGAAGCAATGGGCTTAAATTGCAGCAAGGATGGTTTAGGTTGGACATTAGGAAAAACTTACTGTCAGGGTAGTTAAGCACTGGAATAAATTGCCTAGGGAGGTTGAGGAATCTCCGTCATTGGAGATTTTTAAGAGCAGGTTAGACAAACACCTGTCAGGGATGGTCTAGATAATACTTAGTCCTGCCTTGAGTACAGAGGACTGGACTAGAAGATGTCCCAAGGTCCCTTCCAGTCCTAAAATTCTATGATTCTGTCTTAACTGTTAAAACTTTCTGCCTTTTTAATAGTTGACTATATCTATTTTCAGCTTCTGAGCATTATAGCTTATTAAGCCTTCCTCTACAAGTTTAAAGAGCAGTCTACTAACTGAAATCTCTTTCCCGTGATCGTTGCCCCTTAACCTTATCTTAGATAAACTAAATATATTGGGGTTTATGTCTCTCACTATAAAGGCAAGTTTTCTAGACCTTGGATCATTCTTTTAGGTCTTTTCCAACCCCTTTACAATTTTTCATCATTCTTTTTGAAGAGTGAACACTGGAACTGTCCACAGTATTACAGTAATGGTCTCACTAATGCCAACTATGATCCCCTTGCAGCCAAAACTCTTGATTTCAGTGAGAATTTTGTCTATATGAGGACTGTAGGATTGGGCACTTAGACCCTGATCCTGCAATAAACTCGTGGGTAGAACCCTATTAACGTCAGTGGGGAATCTGCATGGGCTCAGTGGTCTGACTTTGGATATCTGCTTGCAGGCATAGGTCCATAGGACAGTGGTCCCCAAACTGTGTGGTGTGCCCCCCTAGGGGGCCATGGAGGAACATTTGGGGGGCATGTGGTGGGGCTGGAGCCAGTCCCCACAGGGGGCAGGGCGGGAGCGCCATGTTTCCAGCCCCACTCCGCCCCCAGCCCAGCTCTGCCACCAGCCTCACTCCTCCCCAAACTCTGTTCAGCCCCCAGTTCTGCTCCGCCTCCAGGCCCAGCTCTGATCTCACTCCTTCTCTGCCCCCAGATGAGCTCCACCCCCTAGCTGCAGCTCCGCTCTGCCCCTGCTGCACTCCCAAGTGGCCTCTGCTCTCATTCCCTCTCTGCCCCCAGCTACAGCTCCACTCCGCCCCTGTTGCACCCCCAGCCTGGCTCTGCCCTCATTCTCTCTCCACCCCCAGGCCAGATCTGTCTGTCCCTAGCCCCAGCGCCTCCCCCATCCCCAGCTCTGCCTTTAGCCCAAGTTCCTCTGCCGAGGAAGCCTTGCCTGTGCAGAAATGTAGGGGGGGGCATGGACTGATTTCGCTACGGGGGCGGGGGGGGACTGAAAAGTTTGAGCAATCGGGGCTATATTTGTATTTATACCTTCAGGTGTATACATTTTGCCTGGGACTAAATAAGCATACTTGCATGAGTAAAGGCTACTGATGTGAGTAAAGACATCTTTTTTCTTGGAATCTAAGCAATGAACAAAATATTATTACCTTGGGGATTACAATAATGTAAACAGGGAGTGCTGTCATCTTAATATACAATGATAAATGTGTGTTCACTATTTAAGATTTATAACTTTCTCTTCCTAACAATAATAAAAAAAATCACATCTTTTGTTGTTTCTGTTGTTGCTCTATTTATTATTTATTTCTTTATTTTTATCTTACTTGCACTTTTGTCATACCATTCCTTATGTGAATATTCCTTACTATGCAATTTCCTCACAGTCTGTAATTTCAAGCATAGTTCAAAGTTTTTTTCTTTTTTTAAAGGATGTCGGGGGGAAGTTTTGGCAAGCATAAATGTTTTAAAGTACAGGCAACTCTGATTCCAATAACAACAAATATTTTCAAGTATATTTCACTTGGAATAGTAATTTTTGATTCAAAGATGATTATAGTTTTCTTGGTCCTTTTGTAGTCTATATTGTCACTTCCTGATGATCAAGTCTGCTGTTATATGGGCACCAGCATGTTTTCCCCATTATTACTGTATACAGCATAAATATTAAATTTATTAATTATGTGCATGAATTATAACTACCTTTTACAACAGATAAGACCAGATTCTGCATTCCTTACACACCTATTCAGATCAATGAGAATGCTGGTTTCAAAGTATCTGCAGAATTGGGCCCACAGAGTATCTCTAGTCCACAGTAGCACTGTACACGCACTGTACATAAATCTATGAGATGGAGATCACTGTGTGTATAAATAATTTGGGGCCTGATTCACTAAATCTGGTACAAGGTACAAATTGTAACTGTTCCCTTTCCCCAGATGGGGGAGTTCATCCCAGAGAGGACTGGTGGTGGTACTGCCACAGACTTCCTTTGGGTTTAGTCAGCTTTCAGTCTCACTAGTGGCTTCATTAAAGTCCTATTAGTAGAGGGTGCTGTGCAAGGAGCCAATTCACCATCTGTCCTGGCTATGCCCCCTCTCTGGCCATCACCTCCCAAAGTATAAAGGAGGTTGTGGCTGGTGTGTCCATCCATGAATGCTGTATTTGTGTGTGAGCTAGTTGTTATCCCAAAACTGGTTACTAGTCCCGATTGTCAACTATTTTGGCCATAATTTTGCATAGATTTTTGATTTTCATTTTTTAGGAAAAAGAAAAACCAGCCCTCTAATTTAATTCCTTTATAAGGCACACTTGAAAGGAAGTATGACATGTTAATTTATATAATGAGGGTGAGAAGGCAGTGGCACACCAATAGCCTTGCCTTCTCAGATGATATCACCTTATCGCTGGTGAGAGCGCCTCCATTTCTGCACATCATTAAAAATGTCATGTTTTCATCTCACTGATGATGGTGGTTTTTCTTTCCACAGCTATTTTACAACATCAAAGCTGAAAGGAAGTATTGAAAACACATTTGCTGTCCTTATTATTTTTACGTCATCATCATGTTCTGCGGAAAAGGACCTAGGGGTGACAGTGGACAAGATGCTGGATATGAGTCAACAGTGTGCCCTTGTTGCCAAGAAGGCCAATGGCATTTTGGGATGTATAAGTAGGGGCATAGCGAGCAGATCGAGGGACGTGATCGTTCCCCTCTATTCGACATTGGTGAGGCCTCATCTGGAGTACTGTGTCCAGTTTTGGGCCCCACACTTCAAGAAGGATGTGGATAAATTGGAGAGAGTCCAGCGAAGGGCAACAAAAATGATTAGGGGTCTGGAACACATGAGTTATGAGGAGAGGCTGAGGGATCTGGGATTGTTTAGCCTGCAGAAGAGAAGAATGAGGGGGGATTTGATAGCTGCTTTCAACTACCTGAAAGGGGGTTCCAAAGAGGATGGCTCTAGACTGTTCTCAATGGTAGCAGATGACAGAACGAGGAGTAATGGTCTCAAGTTGCAGTGGGGGAGGTTTAGATTGGATATTAGGAAAAACTTTTTCACTAAGAGGGTGGTGAAACACTGGAATGCGTTACCTAGGGAGGTGGTAGAATCTCCTTCCTTAGAGGTTTTTAAGGTCAGGCTTGACAAAGCCCTGGCTGGGATGATTTAACTGGGAATTGGTCCTGCTTCGAGCAGGGGGTTGGACTAGATGACCTTCTGGGGTCCCTTCCAACCCTGATATTCTATGATTCTATGTCATCATATACCTACATCAAGGTCAGTAAAAAAACTGGCAGCTTGATTGGGCAGGGTAGGAAGCTTTAAAGAAAATCCAAGGAAGAAAATATATCGCATGGGAGGCTAAAGGAAAGTTGAAGTTGGATGCGAGCCTAGTTTTTTAGGTTAATTCTAAGTGAACAAATTCTGTTGTAATTATTAAAGTAAAAACCACTGGAAACTGGAATTTTCATGTGGTGTTTAGCATCACATGTATTCAAAAGTATCGTACCATACATTTTTCTCTTGTTTTTAACATGCAGCTTGGATTATTCAGCTAGATTTTCTAGACATGTGTTTATTTAGCTCCTGCCTTGTAACTTAGTCCAGCTCCCTCAACAGGAAAATTCACATTGACTTGAATGGACTCAGGATCAGGCCTCTAATTCAGCAGTATGACATGCAGTATTTCTTAGATCAATATTGGTAAAACAAAATAGCTTTAAGTTACAGTCTATTCCCCCACCCAACTCCATCTTAATTACCTGCACGTTGCTGGCCAAGGTGTTGAGGAATTCTACCTGCTCTTCATTGTGTGGTGTTACACGAAACACCTTCTCTCTTGGTGGTGGAGGAGGCGGGAGAAAAAGATATGATTAAAACAGGCAGGTCAGCTAAGAGAGTTCTGTTTAGCAAAAAAGTGCTGGTTTAACCTTAATTTGAATTCTTACCCATCAAAGTGGTGACTGTGAAGTGGAGCTGAAGCAGCTGCGGCACCTACAAGAACCAATACAGCCCACATTTTTTTAGAAGGGCATGTGATTATTCTCGGCTGCTTTTATAATCCAGTTTACCCTGCTCTTTACTAATCACTCAGCAAAGTAGCCTTTCATTAGCTGATTGATTATTCTCCTGTCCTTGTTTTATCTGTCCATTGTTTATAAACTGTGTATTTTGTCGCACACCTGTGGAAACAGAGCTGAGAGTCTCACAGCTGGCTCAGGGTGCCCACCACTAAAACTGGATGACCTATTCATAGCGGAGAATTTATATGATGAATCTTGCTCTTTTTTTTCATTTGTGAATTACTGGCGAACAATTTTCATGAATTTTTATTCAAAGTAATTCAATTAATGTACTTGAAAACAAATTGGGTGCACAAGCTGTATGCTAACTGGGCCTACAGTCCTCTGTAGTCCACAGGGGCACTGTACACGTCCTGTACATCATTCAGCGAGGTGGGGATCATTGCTTGTGATTGTCTAGGTGATGATTCATTGCATCTTTAATCTAAATGTCTAGGAGGAATTTGCCCCTAACCCTTCGTATATTCTGAATGCTCACATAATACTCTACTTGAGGTACCGCATATGGACAAAGAAAATAAAATGAAATGTAGTCATATAAATAAAGGGCCATTTTTTCAGCTGTTCCCTCCATTTCACACCTGCAAAAATGCACACAGGTGGTTGCAAAGGAAAAATAGTACTTGCCCCTATTTTGCTCATAACAAAACATGTAACTCAGATAGTTAGATGTCATACTACTCAATTCACCAAGCAATAGATTCATTTTCATTGTGTTCACTGGTAATAACTTAAACTTTGTATTTTAGTCTTTCAAGTGCTTTTGATGGGCTATCCCCAAATGTACAAAAAATGGAGTGTAAGGGCTAAATTCTGTCCTCAGTTATGTCTGAGTGGTCCTATAGATTCTAAGGCTTCAGCCATACATTTTACTAAGGGCAGAACTGGACTTTATGGCTGCAGTTTTGTATTTTGATTTTAACTAATGGATCAACATATTTATATTCCCAGTTTAGAAACTATAGAGTCAATTTGGAAATGCAGGAGATTGAAATAACTAGTATGTTTCTTAGATATTCCTCAGCACAGCAGAATTCTACTTAGAAATAGCTCCATGAGGCTTTCAACAGAGGTGAGCAAATATTTAGGGTTGTGTGTTGAGTATGAGGATGAACATTGTCAGTCAAATTTGGAGGCCCATATACAATCAAAATGAATACTGAATTCAAATGTAATCAATACAGTGAGCCTTTTGCTCAAATAAGGACCACAGATTTTGACCCTACATTATATAATATATCCTTTTTTGTATAAATCCTTTTATGTATAATGACGAAGCACTAGTTCAGTGCACTAATCAGACAAAACTTTCTCCTTTATAGAAATATTGCTGCCACAAGTTTTATGATGGACTTTATTTATGCAATATATAAGTTCCATTTAGTCTGTTCCACTCCCAATGCTATTGTGGTTGCACATGATGTAATTTAGGCTCTTTGATCCAGAGATGGCTGTTTGAATTTGGCCCAAATTGTTGATACCTCTTTTAAGAATGAACATGATTCCACACGTGAATATCCTATTATACTTTTGGGAGGCAATTTTGCAAAACTACACTGAACAGCCTGAAAATACGTTAAGACTGGAACATCCAACATATGCAGCCATTTGCACCTAACAGTCTGATCCCTGATGAATTTGTTGTTTAAACAAGATTCCCAAATTGTACGTATCTTAATAACCTGAGAATAACCTGAGAATTATATTTGCCAAAATATAAGGATTGAATTTAATTTACAACTAATGACCTAATTTTGTGACACTGCACATTGCCACAAACAATAATCTTACTCAGAGTCAAGTCCGCTAAGCAGGATGACAGCAGGAGTTATTCTGACAGACTGCCAAAACAATAATGCAAGGACTTCAAAAGTTTTAATTTTAAGATGAGATCTACCATATTTGATAAAATGGTATGGTCTCACGAACATTGCTAAGACAATAAAGCAGAATGATCAAGCCCAGAACTTGCAATGAATAAATGATCACAAGAAGTAATCAAACAAATCGCAGATGTCATCATTCCCTGTTGAGCTCTAGGAAGCATCTCAGAAATAGAAGACTGTCAGATTGCAGTGTTTGAATTCACTTTTAAGAAATTCTTTGTGCCTTTTCATGCAGTTTCCAACACAATCCCTAACCCAGCTTTACTGCTAGTACTACTGAGCTGCCAAGCTATGTAGAATATTATAATTTCTGATGACAGTCTTTGCTGTGTCCATTACAGATTAGGTCAGAGAAAACTAGTGACATGGAATCTTATTGAAGTGGTTCATTTTGCATCCCAGGATTGATGATTATGTGTCAAATTATCTCATAAACTAGCTCTAAACATGGTCTTGTTTTTCTAACTGTATTAGATAAATGTTCAATATCGGTATGATAAAGTGGCAGCTCAAGGAGAAATCAAATAGCAAATTAAATTTGGATAGACCAGCTGCTCCCTTCATTTTATGACTACAAGACCATAGCACATCAGCTGGACATGGATGAGTAAACCATTGCCATATATATTTGGAACTGACAGAAAAGGTTAGCTAGTGGCAATGCCTGATAGGCCATCTCTAATGGGGTATAGGAAGAAGACCCCAAGTTTTCCCCTATGCTCCAGTTTCCTTATAAAACAGGCTATGCCTACTGGAGTGGGGGTGGATGTGACTAGGGACCCAGAAGAATATTTCTCAAGGTGTAGGACAGGAAGCAGGAGCAGCTGGGCCCAGTCATTAGTGAGCAGCTATAGAGAGGCAACAAGGCAGAAGGAGCTTGTTATAGGGAGAGACATCTCATTCCCTTCCTGACTGGGAAGATATCAAACTGCATATACTGCTGGCCCGGTACCCACTGAAAGCTCTCTTCAAACAAAGAACCTCAGCCTTTTGGGATGCTTGCTCAAAAAAGATATGGCTGATGCCGCAGCTTCCTGTGACATATTGGGTCTTAGGTTTCCCTGGCTCTATCAGATGAAAGCTGTTTTATGAAGAATCTGGGATGTAGGAAAACCACAGCAGTGGAGGAACATACTGTACATCATACATCCTCATGGACTTTTCTTCTCCTTACTTGCCTCCTGTGAGATATAATGGGTATCACTAAGTGTGTCAGTGTTGCCCACTAGTGGCTGAATCACAGAAAGCATAAAGGATCTACTAGTACAAACAGTTACAGAAGCTGGCCTTTAGCTCAAGTGGTAGAGAACTCTGGCTACAGAAGCTGGGTTCTAGTCCCAAATTCCCCACGTGTGTGATTTGTAACCAGTTGTCTGTTGTTTCCAGCACATTGATTTATTACAATGGCCTGAAAGAGTTGCTGCTTCAACTGGTAATTCATACAATTAATGGTAAAATAAACAGGCTCTCTGTCTCCTGTCATCCAGTATGACATCAGATTTTCTGATTCAACTGTACAACAGAAGCACTATGTTCTACAGTAGGGAGTGTGTCTAGGAATTAGAGCAAAAGAGTAGGTGTCAGGAATCTGGGGTCTGTTCCCACTTTCATTATTGATTTGTTAGGTGAAAAGTCTCTATGCCAGGTTACCTGCACCAGTAATCACTAGTATCAGTGGATACTTACTGATCTGTCTCAAGTGAAAATGGATAACAGTGAGCAAGGTCAGGAGGGAATAAGATTGCCTACCTGCATTCCTATGTATTTCATCTTCATTACATCACCAAGTTGATAAATGGGTAGAATAATATTTAGCTTTTATATGGAGTATTTAACATTTGGAAAGCATTTTGAGATCATCAGCTGGAAAGCACTGTATAAATTCAAAATGTTATCATTCCACTTTTATCACTCACTTACAAAAGAGGCTGTTAGATATGTTTGTGCAATAATCTAATCTAGCAACAAAAGGGATTTGTTAATTATAAAATGTGTAGATGGTCTAGACTGGTGTCTGTATGTCGTCTGTGTTCCTGTTGGATAAAAGAGCCTGGGAATAGTCAAAGATCAAAATATTGTACTCTGAACCTGCAAAATTGAATTGTGTGGATGCAGCTGCGGAGCAATAACAGAGCTGCTAAACAAGAAACTGGCTTCTCAGTGGTTTGTTCTTCCTAGAGGTCCTAGGAAAGTTTAGTTTGTGCTTTATAAAGTTAAGCATATGTTAAGAAAACTCAAACAACTGATGCACTAAGCTTCAATACAAAACAATTTCAATTTCTATCTTCCCAGGTACTCTGCAGAAAATCTGGAGTTACCTGAAAATTAAAATGGAAGCCCCTTTGTGAGTATGAGAAATGCAGCTAAAACGCTGTTAAAATGCACTTAGCATCTGGCACAATTTACTGCCACTCCAAGTAACTACCTCAAGTGTTCCTGTCTGGAATAAAAATGACATTCAAATTATATTTACAACTCTGCTAATACTACCCAAAGTCTTGCATTTGTCACTTCCAGCCTGTCTAATTCACGAATGCATTGCAGTCACATCCTTCTGAAAAGTTGTTCTCAAGTGCTGCAATCTGACTGTAGCCCTCTTTGGGTGGAAGATGATTCATGTCTGAAGACTGACATGTTCATTCTTGACAAGATTAGACAGAAAAAAGCAAATCAGTGTACTAGCAATGAAGGGTCCTACCACCCCAGAGACTAGGGCATAGAGAGGGGAAGTAACTTGCCACAGTATTACTCAGTAGGTGAGTGTCAGAACCAGGAATAGACCCCAAGTCTCCTGACTTTCAATTCATTATCCTATCTCTGGACATAGGAACTGTCATATCGATTCAGACCAGCAGTCCATCTAGTCCAGCATCCTGTCTTCAACAGTGGCCAGAACCAGAGGCTTCAGTCGAAGGCATAGACCTCTGCATTAAGTAGGGGATACTCTGTGCTCTTCCCCCCCCCACACACACATAGGTCTCATCCTGATTTCTGTTCATTAGAGACTAGTTTAAGCACTAAAGCACACTGCATCTCTCAACACTCTCTTAGTCCCTGTCCTGGGCTCTGCATGGACTGAGGGATGAATCAGGCACTAGTGGTACAATCATCCATCTGCCTCCTTAGCATAAGGATTTGGGCAGACTGTTGAAACTCCATCTTGCCCAGTTAAGTGAGCTCAGCAACACTGTCCTGGAGCCAGCCTAGCATATGCCTGGATCACTGTGAATGGTAGAAAAGACAAACTGTACATAAGCTGAGAGTTCAGTATGCATTGTAAAACATCACAAAAGTGTGTTGTGTAAGGTCAGGAACAGAGTAGACAGAGAATTGCTGCTT